TATTCTCAGCACCAAACTACTGTGGAGAATTCAACAACGCAGGAGCACTCATGTGTGTGGATGAGACATTGCTTTGTTCCTTTCAGATTCTCAAACCTTGGAGAGGAAAAGCCCCTCCCTTTGAATAATCATCATCATCATCATCATCATTCTACTTTCTCTAATCCATTTCATCATCTGGAAAAGAAAATACCAGCTTCTTGTGTTTGAATACATGGGTGCATATATAAATGTAGAAAATTAAACATTTTTTATTTGATTTGATTTGATAGTGAGTACTGTACAAGGTTGTTCATTAATGATTCTAGCTTGTGTTTCCAAGTCACTTGTTAACTTTACATATAGTCCGTTCAAATGGCTACGAAGAGAAAAGAGCCACTAAATGAGAGTGCTTGACTATATTATTTTAGAAGGCGTGGGCTTTATTTCTCCCACCCGCTTGTGTTAGGTGGTTTTGTGCTGCCCCATGAGTTCATTTGACAAGAAGAGGAAAGAAATAGTGAATATAAACGAGAGATGTGAACTTAATTTGTCGGTATTGTTTCTTATTTTTAATATAAAAGCTAATTTAAGATAGAATATTATTTTAAATATATAATATTTTAATCTATTTTTTCTACCACTTCTTATTCTTAATATAAGATCCACTTATATTAAGAACAGGAAGCAGTGTTATATTTATAATTCTCTTTTAAACTAAATTACGCAACTTATAAATTGAGATTTCATATAATGTTATACGAGAGTATTTTAAGAAGGTCATGTTACTTTTTAATATAATTAACTGCTTTATTTGACTTCTTTAATCTACATGAATTAGTTAATTAACTTTTATACTAAAAACGAGAGGAGGTAATATGCTACAACAGAAGCAATCTTCTTATGAAGGGGAATAATTTTAGAGCAAACGAAAAGACTTAATATGATGTTCATTGACTCAAAAAAAAAGTTTATAACCATGTGGGAAGTTAAAAATACAAGGTATGAACGAGGGAGCAATAACATTATAGTTAGAGAAGTGAGACAAAAGACTTTTGTATGGAAATTATGTTGGCCTACGGAATCCTATAAAGAAAATTGCAATGACGCCTATGAATCTCCACAAGACATCAAATTCAAAACAACAAACAACAGAGTAATATTCATCACAAGTAAAGGGATATCATAGGAGTCTTAAAAACTCTGCACTATTTCTATAGGTTGAGACTTTCTTATAAGAAGTTGAATCAAATTGAATTCAAATTCAAACTCAAATTTTGATATAAAATGTAATCTAAATTACAAAGACGTGAAAAGTAATCCCTCTTTTCTAATTTGGCAAACCCTGCTTTCTTTGGCATATAGAGTGAAAGCTGACAGAATAACTGCAGCTAATAAATAATCACTAATTATATCTTACTCATATTCATGGTTTCAATTACCTTAGCATCCACGAAACATCAAAAGGTAACATGATCAATATCTTGTACGCCTGTCCAAACGCGCACACGCTCAGAAGTCATATGTGAAAGATATCTGTGAATCATTGTTTGACCACAATTAAACCAATATACTACCTCTCGTCTTTAATATAAGATCTCGTTTAATTTTTATTTTGATCCTAAATATAAGACCTCAATTTACTTTGTCTCTCATGTTCATTCTTTTTTTTAAGATATTCCTTCTAATAACAGTAGTTCTAACCAATAAACTTAATTAGCAAGGATATTTTAAGAAAAACAACACCTGTTTATTACAAATAATTAACTTAACTTGTTTTCTTAATCTACTCAAATTAGTCAACTAGCTCTTATATTTAGAATCAGAGGTAATACTACATATGTTTCTTAATATAAAACCTCAGTTAACATTCAATTTTATCTTAATTAAATATAAGACCTCAATTTATTTTATCTCTTATATTTATCTATTTTTTCTTAAAATAGTCATTATAGTAGTTATACATTTTAAATGTTTTATCAAATAATAGTCTAAACAATATTAATAATTAGTAAGAATATTTTAAAAAAGACAACATATATTTATTAAAAATAACTAACGTATCTTATTAGTATATACAAATATATATATATATATATATATATTGCCATGTCCTGTCTTTGTCTGGCCTTTGCATTATTATTAGGATATAATAAAGAGAAGTTTTCCAGACTTTGTTATGATTTTGGACCAGATGCTGTGATCCTTTCTGGGTTTTGGACATATTTGGAGAACGGCGTGTGATAGTGACAACATGTAAACAGTCCAATAATTTTCTCTCAATCATTACAGTAATATCTTTTCTAAACATCTAAAATTATCATAGCCCAGGAGAGATCATTATATTTTTTTATTTTTTCAGAAGACACTTCAATTATTGTATTAAAAAAACAAAAGCTACAATGTATAAGAGGTTATCAAATTTTACCAGAAGATTTCTTTCTCTGCTAGTTTTCAGGCCATTAATCAATATGTCATTTCAAAATTTTCTAACTTGGTGATGGTTCTGTTCTGGGGGGGTGATGCCTAACTCCACCGAACTTGTGGTGGGATCACATGGCTTATTACTTGAAATGTCCATATCAATATGACAATATGTATGTATGTATGAATATCAATTAAAGAACCTACAATATCATATTCTCAATATAAGAGCTAGAAACACTAAGTTGAAAAGATTTTTAAAAAAAAACTAATTAAATTGATTATTTGTAATAAATAAGTGTTAACTTTTTTAAAGTACCGTCTTTAATCGTATGCATTGAAACCATTATTTGATAATAATAACATACAATCAATAGGTATGTTTTGAAGAAAAAATTATAAATTTGTGGGAAAAAGTGGATAAATATATTATATTTAAGACCAAACTCAGTCCCCAGCTAGCTCTTACATTAAGGGCCTGTTTGGTTTGAGGGAGGGGAGGGGAGGTTTCATCCTCACCTTGTTTGGTTTGATTAAAAAGAAGAGGAGGGGAGGGTATTTAATGATCCCTTGTTTGGTTCAAGGAGGGGAGCGGAGGGATAGTAATAATCAATTTACCATTTTACCCTTACATATTAGTTTGTGTTTTTTATTGATATATTATATAAATTAATTTACATCTTAATTTAAATTATATAATTTAATAAAAATTCAATCTTATCATGTTAATATGTGTATTAAAAAATTAGTATAGTAATTTTTTATTCTAATTAATATAATAATATATTTAAAATAATCAAATTAACAAATTTTATATGCTCTAAGAAAAATGAAAATTTATTTTCTTTATGCTATCTTTTTTTCCAGCTTTAAAATATATTTAATAAATAATATATTTATAAAAAACAATTAATTTTATAATATTATAATTTTTTATTTAAATAATTTTTCATTTTTAAATAATTTTTATAATATATTTTTAATTATAATAATGCATATTTTTATTTTTTTTACTTAGGATAATATATTTCTTTATTTGAAATAAATATTATAATAATATATTTTATGGATAGAAATGGAATATTAAAAAAACCATAAAGGTATAATGGCCCAAAATTTTGGCTCCCCTCCAAAATTTGGAGGGGAGCCAAAATGGAGGGAGGGAGAGGAGGAGACATTTTAGCTCCCCTCCCTTCCAAAATTTTTAACCAAATAAAGGGAGGGGCTCATTTTCCCTCCCCTCCAACCAAACACACCCTAAGTACTAGAGGTAGTATAAAATTTTTAGGATGTTATATAGCACAAAAACTACAAACAAAATTTGTGAGACAAAATTAGGTCTTACATCTACATTGTTTTACCTACTTAAATTGGTTAATGAGATCTTACTGGAAGAGAATGTTATACAGCTCAGAAACTACAAACAAAATTTGGAAGAGATCATATAGTTTTCTATATATTTCAAGCAAACTTTTATAATTTTTAAAAGTTTACCTCCTTAGTTTTAAACAAACATGAAAATCATGAGACTTTCCGCTGAAAGATCAAATTATAATTCATATGCTAAACTGTAAAAGAACACTGTGGAAAAACGGCATATTAATTAATACTAACCTTTTTTGGGTAAGATTTCACTTATTAACAGAGCTGGAAAGCGCAATAAGTTAGGTAAATACTATTTCTGATCCTAATTATAAGAGCTAATTGACTAATTTGAGGAGATTAAGGAAGTAAGTTGAGTTAGTTATTTGTTCTAAATAGATGTTGTCTTTCCTTACTAATTAAGTGTATTGACTAGAACTATCGTTGTTAAAAGGGCTACTTTGAAAAAAAATATAAATATGAGAAAAAAAGTGGATTGAAATTTTATATTTAAAACCAAAATAAAAGTAAAACATGGTCTTATATTAAGAACCAGAGGTAGTAATATATTTTTTTCAATAAAAATTGCTCAAAAATCCCCCCACCACAAAATTTTCCCAAAAATACTATTAGGACCTAGATATTTAAGTGGCTATACCTAATCTTCACTTGCGTACCATATACTTTCACCTATATACATATATCTTACATTTTATACATAATTGAATATAAATTACACATAGCTGGAAAAATTATACTATCTTGGGTTCTTAATATAAGATTTCGTTTGACTTTTATTTTGATTCTAAATATAAAACCCCAATCCACTTTGTCTTATATATATATATGCATTTTTTTTTAAAATAGTCCTTCTAATAATGGTAGTTCTAGCCAATACACTTAATTAGCAAAAATATTTTAGGAAAGACAGCATCTATTTATTGTAAATAACTAACTTAAATTATTTTCTTAATCTTCTCAAATTAGTCAACTAGTTCTTATAATTAGGACCGGAGGTAGTTTCTTCTTAAAATAGGTTGCAGTTATAATTACTTAAATTCTTAAACAAATTTAAGGTAGGGTGATAAATTTTGTAACAGGGCATTTTTAAGTAATTTTACTTATTTTCTGTTGCTAACAATAAGTTACGTATATTAATAATCTAAGTATTAAAAAAAACACAAAATAAAAGTAATTACAGGCTGATACGGTTATGCGCGCGCGGCGTGGCGTCCTGGGAAGCTGTTACTGCGAATCTCAAGCTTCTCTATCAAATCTTTAAAACTTGTTTTTTCTTCTCTTCTTCGTTCTTCGCATCATCTTCGTCTTCTTCCTCTTGATTGCAATCTCCAGGCCGCCTTCGCTTTATCTGTCTCCATTTTCCAGATTCAGTTTTGGAGAATGAAGGCAGAATCATCTCGCAAACGGACCCTCTGCCTTGCCGTCACAGCGGCTCTGGTCATCGCAATCGTCATAATCATCGTGATTTTAGGCTTCACGGTGTTCAAACCAAAGCGTCCGGTCGAAAATGTTGATTCCATAACTCTTCAGGAGATGCATGTCGGTCTCGATGTGGCCAAGCTCATCGTAGATCTCAACATCACCCTCGGCATCGAAGTCTCCGTTAGTAACCCCAATCACGTAGGCTTCAAGTACTCCGACTCCAACGCGCTCCTCAATTACAGAGGCCAGCTCGTCGGAGAAGCTCCTATTCCGGCCGGCGAAATCGCCGCCGGCGGGAACCAAACCATCAAAGTCAGTCTCACCATTATGGCGAACCGCCTCCTCTCTAATTCTCATCTTCTCTCCGATTATTTCTCAGGTTCGTTGCCTCTAAGCACTTGGATCACGATTTCTGGGAAAGTGAGCATCTTCGGGTTAATTCACGTTCATGTGGTTTCAACTTCGTCCTGTGATTTTGCCATCGATATCTCCAACAACACCATAGGCCATAAAGAATGCCGTTACAAAACTAAACTAACTTAATTCGGTGCTCTTAGATCTTCAATTTCTACTTTTTTTTCTTGTTCCTATTTATCTAATTGAAACATATGTTGTAGATATTGGTTTTTGATATGTAAGCAGATTTATTTGTAGGAATTAGCTAGGCATTCTTTCTGGTTCTTATTTGCTTTAACATTGAAACGTTTATTTGAGGCCAAAAAAAAAAAAAACGTCGATAAATTTTTCATTTCAATTTCCTTTAATCCCTCAAAAGTTTGTCTTCATGCTTGTTTAATGTTATTGGCGTATTGCATTGCAACAAATAGGGGAGAGAGAGAGGGAACATTTAAACACAGATTTTTCCTTTCTGGGTATAAACTTGCTTGTCAGTACTTCTTACCCAATGATACTAAATGCTTTATTAAGGGTCCGTTTGGATTAGTGATTGAAAAAGTAGTTTATTGTCAATTTGATTTTTGAAAAATTGAAATTAGATAAAAATTAAATTGGATAAGCTGATTTGTGTTTGGATTGGAGTTCAAAAAAGCTAGTTTGTAAAAGTGAAATTGGTAAAAAGTTGTTTGGATTATGATTGAGTAAAAGTAAGCTTGTTTATAAAATTATCAAAATGGTTATGATTAAAAAAAATAATTTTATCAAATTATTTATAAGCTCCTGTTGATCTCATATATTTTCTTTTATTTTTTATTATTTATTATAAGGACATATTTGAAGTTAAAAATATATTTCTATGAGCATATTTAAAAATAAAAGTATATTTCTAACTTATTTATTACTTTTAACTAATTTTAACTGATTTTTTGTTATCTACAAATTAGTTATTTGAGGCATATAATAAGAACTAAAAGATGTAGTAAATTTCTTAACTTTTTCTTTCTCCATGTTTCAAAAGCTACAAGCCATAAACTATAAGTCATAAGCTGTTAATTTTAGCCTATAGGTTATTGTAACTTTTCATACAAAAGTCAGATTGCTCAATCACCAAACCAAACAGCACAAATTCTTTAAACGAGCTTATGCTTGAAAAAAAGCTACTTATTAGCCCCCAAAAGCTTAGCCAAATAGACTCTAAGTCTTTTCGTTAAATATGAGATTTTGTTGGCAAAAGAAAAGGTTAAACATGAGATTTTGAGTTTAATCCTTTACAGAGAAAATAATAAATGAGTGAGTTATAAAAAATAAAAAAAGGTGGCTAAATTATATAAAAACCTCTCCAACTTTGAGTAAGTGAATTTTAAAATTTAAATTTAACCACCATTGCTTTTTTTTTTTTATAAATATCGTGAACTCCTTACTATTAAGTTATCATTAATTTGTTATCCTTTTAACGGAAATTACCGTGTCAAATAAATGAAAAGCACATTAGCATCTAGCAATGTAAGTTATAATTGACAAAATTCTCCTGAACACCAATTATATTAACTCCTATAGCATTTTAAAATATTTAAAATATTAGAGGAATTATATACAATTGATTCAAAATTCATAGAAGTTTTGTATAATTTAGCTAAAAACAAATATTATTACTTATTATTACTTCAACTTTTTATAAGAGAATTTTAAAGCGTTTTGATGTTTTATTTATTTAAAAGAGTTAACAAACCTGACTAGCCCGATCAAATTTTTAATTTCGGAGTTTGAAAAAGATATTACGAATTTTTTTGGATATGCACAACAAGTGCGGCCCTTTAATTGACATTATCAGTTACTAATTTTTTAAAAAAAATTTTTTATTACACTACGCTGTCCATATTTGGCTGGCTCTTAATTGAGTAATTCCTTTTGTTGTATATTGTTGGCTTTTTAAGTTTCCTGCGACTCTTGTTTTTAGCTGCTTCATGTGTTTGTCGTGTGTAATTGTAGTGTGGGTAAAAACAAATTCAATGTATGATTACCAGAAAATCTAAAATCCAAACCCACATATTACTTATAGGCCAAATGAATTTTTAGTGTAATAGTATCAAAGCGTCTATTACAAGTTTAATCTCTCTTGTAATCTTATACTTATTGTCTGCTCCCTCTAAATTTGCAATATACATATATGCATTGTAGAGAGTAAGAGAGGAGGAGTAAGCTAGATAAATATATATAACTAAATATTATCTCGATTCTTTTTATAAGATCTCAAATTTAAATTAGTTTGATAACTTAATAAGATCTTACTTAGAATTGTTTAAACATCAAATGTATTTTTCTTAATTTTATCTCTAATTAATTTTTTTATTTTCTGTCATCATCTTTTTTTCACTATCTTATTAAATAAATATATATTTAAAAAATATTTAATTTTTACATATTTATTATTTTTAACTAATTTTAGATGGTTTAGTTAAAAAAAATCTTATAAAAAAAATTAGGAGTAAATAGTTATAACTCCATCAAGTGGGGTTTTATGGGCAGCTAGGTCCCAGATTTTAGTACTGTTGTCCCTGTGGTGGGCACCACAACAGAATCGTACGGAATGTTTTAACCTTTGCCTGCAATGCTCTCTCTATCATTGATTCGTCATTGTGTAATTGTATCCATATACTTCATGTAACAAAGGCTTGTAATTTGTAATAAACTCAGAAAATCGAATTGTTTCTTATACTACCTCATATCTCAATTAGAAGATTTTATTTATAAATTACAAATAAGATTTTATAATTAGAATCAGAGATAATATATTTATATTGTGTACTCCCATAATCATGATTTTGCAAAACCAAGTGTGCAAACGAACTTATAAGGGTATAAATAAGACATCATCATTTGATAATTAAATTTGCCAGTATATATGTGGAAGGGTAAACTATCTAATTAAAGACATAGGTGAAAATTAAATAATTACTAGTACTACAATTTAGAACAAGTTCAAAAAACTGAACTTTCTTTTTTGTTACTAGTATTAATAAAGCAGTTAACTAATAGAGTTTGTACTAATATATTTAATGTTTATTTTTTAATTTTATCCTAATTTAATTCTCATTAGAAAGAGAAAGAAAAAAGAGATCAAAGATATGAGAACTAAATATATATAGAGAGAGAGAGAGGAAAATTTTTAATAAAAATAAAATTAAAAAATTGATAATTTAATACATTTTTTGATATACGAAAATGTGTTATAAGTGACTTATATTAATGACTAGAATGGTAGACAAGATCAAAGAGAGTATATTTTCATTTAAATATTTAGAATCTGATTCTTCTCAAGCTTTTCCATGACACAAGATCTAATATTTTCCGGCACTGATGTTAAAAGTTGAAAATGGAAGCTTCCATGCACTTGAGACGACATAAAAAAATGAGAGTGAGTTTCTACTTTCCACAGTTTTTTCTTCTTTTTCTTCTTTTTTTGCCAACCTATTCATTGGAACAAAAAAAAACATCAAATCTGGAAGTCAACCTCATAAACAGTAGTAGTACCAGACAGTTGCTTCAATACATCAACATTTATTAGGTGAGGCATATCTTAAAAAACCCTTAAATAATAAGAGGAAAAAAGGGTCATAACAAGTAACAGTTGAGACACGGAGCGGCATTAAATGGGATCAGGACCCTCACCCGCCAACTACCAGCCATCCTCTTGCTCTCCACATAAATATTACAGCCAATGCCTTATAGTCTCCACTTTCTGAGATCTTTCACCTTCAAAAATCTCTCTCTCTCACTCTGAATCACGCGAAACCAGAACTCAAAACACCATGACAGAATCAACAACCACACACAATAACGAGGCCCAGATGATGATCTCACAAAGCAGAGTCAAGAAGAGAAGAAGGTGTTGCCTTGTTCTAGGAATTCTGCTACTTTTGCTGATAGTGATCTTCATTGTGGCTCTGGTTCTGGCTTTAACTGTGTTTAAGCCTAAGAACCCAACAGTTCAACTTGTGTCAGCTTCTCTGGATGGAGTGTCACCTAGTGTTTCTTTCCCTGCCATTCAGATTCATCTCAACCTCACTCTTAATGTCAGTCTTATGGTTCATAATCCAAACCATGCCAGCTTCAAGCATGAACAAGGCACGAGCATTCTGTATTACGAGGGTAATCAGATCGGAGACACCAACATCTTTACCGGTGAGATTCCGGCGAAGGGGTCGGCCGTACTTCCTAGCCGGCTTACGTTGCAGGTCGACAAACTAGCATCGAATGTTACCAGTTTCGTGGGAGATTTGATGGGTGGGGAACTGTCAATGGAATCATCTACTCAGCTTCCCGGGAGAGTTACCATCCTTGGATTCATTAAAAAGCATGCCGTTGCTCTTTCTGACTGCCAGTTCACTCTTGACATTTCCGACAGGAAGATTCGATCCCAATCTTGCAAAAGTAAGACCAAGTTTTGAATGGAAAGGTAGAATTTTTGGATTGGTTGTATAATAATAGATGATTCTCTATAGAGGGTGGATGTGGTTGTTTTTGGGCTTTTTATGCCTTTGTTGTTGTGTTGTAAGTAAGAAGTTGCACGATTTGGCATATAGAATATGTACTAGTGTCGAGGTCTACACATATACTTTTACAGACCGAGGGAGGGAGGGAGATAGTTTACCATGTCTGTAATTTCTGATTATCAAATATCAGTCCCTCTTCGTTCCCTTGTTTTCTAGTTTGCCCTTGGGTGGTCAAGAACAGTTTACACGTTTGGATTGAAAAGTAATTTTGAAGAATAGATTTTCTCAAAAGCTGATCAATCCGGCTTTTCTTCAAGCCCTGATTTTTTTTAACTCTTCCAAATCATGGTTTAGTTCATTAATTACCTTTTTAATTTTTTTTTTCCGGTGTTTGAATGAAATCAGACAACCTTTGGTTTGGCTTGAAAAAGTGATTTTAGAGTCGTTAGCCAAACATGCACAAAAGCTTCTGGCCAATCTGTTAATTAATCATGAGTATTGCTTAGTCTGACATAAACCGCCAGATGGGATAAATTGAAAACATAACCTAAATCAACTGTTTTTTTTTTTTTGGTGAATACCTAAATCAACTGTTTGTCAAACCAAGAAATGAGTTTTTCTGTAGAAATCAGAAAATGGGGAAGGAAAAAAATTGTTTCTTGCCCTGCCCACGTTTTTTTTTTTTCAAGTTTCAATTTATGGAGAAATGAGTTACTCAACACGCAGAATATAATTATTTCCTCCTCCAAAGAAGTTTCAAACCAAGAAGACATGAGACCACTCTCCTCATGATAGCATTTAAGCCAAATTACTAATAGCTAAGACTCCACAAAAATGAAATTATGAGGACTAACAAATTCTGGTAAGCTACCAGCATATGGAAAATGGATACAGGAGGGAAAACACCCTTCAAAGTACCAATCAACATAAAAAATAACCTCAGTAACTTGGTTTAACAAAGAAACATTAGATAGCACAACAAATCATCTATTAGAGAAAAATCAGGGCACAACTTCAATGTTAGAAAAACAAAGGTCAACGATCAGCTATACATCGTTACTGCTTCCTCTACACTGCCACCTTGGTCAGCTGCAGTTTCTCCATGTAAAAATACAAAATATCAAATCATAACTCAGATACAACTATTTCAAAAACAGCAGCTCAAGACTTGATTACCACTGATTGAGCTGCCATTTTCTCTGTTTATATATATAAATCGGACTCTCTTGAATCAAAATTCAAGCTTCCTGCGTAGCCCCACAGGAATGATCCTTGGTTTATTCCCTGGTTTCACAGGTGCACCTGGGCAGGTATCAGCGATTCCACTGAGCTGGATTGCTGAAGGAGGTGTTTTACAATATTCTGAATCATACACTACATCAGATATTTCAGCAAGCATAGCCTCAGCTTGGGTTGATAAAATAACTTCCAAGAGATTCTCATACACAGATTCAAACATCTCTTGATCTGAAGGAGATTCTCCATCAAAGCAAGAACTCTTGGGCTGAACAGCATCTGATGAGGGGTTAAAATTAAGTCGTCGGGCTACACAGCTCCTTAAATCATTAGCATACTTTTTGCACAGAGGTGCCCTTGCCATAATTTCCGGGCCAGGAGCAAAGGGGTCGAAAACACCGTCCTCGGGTGTTTTAGGGCTACTATTATCAACAAGAGCAGCAACCTTACGGCCGTTTTCTTTGCAGTTAGAATCAATATCAGATAATTTAAATGGTTTCTTCATCACTGTGAGGGGTGATTGAAGATCAATGCGAAAATCCCCATTCTCTCTGTCTGCATTTGGAGTTATTGGCACTAGAGAACCGTTGCATTCAGCAGCATCAGGCAGCTCAGAGACATCTTTATTGGCTCCCAGAACTACAATATCCTCGTCCAGTTTCTGTGAAGACCTCAGACAAGAGTCCTTGCCTTTGACGCCCAGATTCTTGCAAGCTCCAGAATCCATAAGCGCGAAAGAAGTGATAGCAAATGCAGCTTCTTTTCAGAATCTATAAAGGCAATTCGGTTCAGCTCGTTTAGTTCTCCATACGTGTCTGAAGGAAAGTCGAAAGCAAAAAAAAAAAAGGCATGAAATTGCATAAGAAATTAAAACACAAGACAGTCCAACCGGCGAAGAAGAAATAAACCTAACAGCAAAAAGAGGGGAAAACCAAACCCTAATTTACTGCCTCAAAAACCTTTAAAGAACAATGCTTCAAAAAACATCGCGATACTTGAAAATAAAGAATAGGGATCTGAGATATAAATGAAGAAGATTTACATAGAAACCGGTTAAGATGTCTACAATCTACAAGATCGAGTATTTATGATAAGTTCAAGAAAAAGGAAGGAAGAAATTGCAGCAAAAATCAGAGAGTATCTCAGATTAGACTATCGGAACAATGAGAAAATGGGATCCAAACGAAAAGACCGAGAACCTGAGAATGAGACTACCGCAATGGAGGAGTCGGCGTCGGCGTCGGCGGCGCGATGCGGCAGATCAGAGGAAGGAAAGGAGAAGCGGGTATCGAGTTGATGCGGGTGACTACCACTGAGCGCCAAAGTGGCAAATGCGGAATATATAGTCCGTAAACCAGGTAATTTCGACGTGTCATCGTGTGATTGGATTTCAATTATCACTCCTATGGCAGTTTCCAGTTTACCCCTTTCCACTTCACAGTAAAGATTGCTCCTCAAATCCCGCATCCTACAGCTCATCAAACTTTCAGAAAGCTCAGATTCCCACAGTTTTCTGTCAAAGTTTTTTTTTTTTGGCCCCAAAAAACAATTATTTTTTCTGGCTGGAAAAAAAAAAGCCTTTTTTGGGATCAAGTAAAAGGAAGTGTTTGCCTTTAATTTTTGGAACATTAATTTACCTGTTGCAGCTTATTTTCCATAAAAAAGAGGGCAATTACATATATGTCCCATTTAAAAAAAATTAAATACAAATAAATTATAAACTAGACACATGGACCGATTTGATGTTTTTGATAGATTTAAATTACTGATTTGTGATTTTCTAATTTCAAGGGTATTTTCTGTTATTTTCTCTTTTTTATAAAAAAAAATAAAAGACTGGAAGGAGAAGCCTGATCCTATGCAAAGAGAGTGGAAGTGTAAGCTGAAACGTTATGAGCATAAATTAAGCATTGATTGCCGAAATAACTCTCAATGATGAGTGCTTGTGATCCCACCTTGCATGTGCCCGATGAGGTGGACTCCCCGGCAGGAAAAAAAAAGACATAAATAGATTCTGACTAATTATTGAACCGGTCAAGATAATGATTCGATAATAAGTAATTCAAATCAGAGTTAATTCGAGGTAGGCCGATCATGATTAAAATGAAATAATTTAATTAAGATCTATAAAACTTTCAAATACTACCTCCAGTCTTAATTATAAGAGCCAATTGACTAATTTGAAGAGATTAAGGAAGTAAATCGAGTTAGTTATTTGTCCTAAATAAGTGTTATTTTTCCTAAAACATCCTTACTAATCAAGTGTATTGATTAGAACTATCATTGTTAGAAGGGATACTTTGAAAAAAATATATATAAATATGAGAGACAAAATGGATTAGGATCTTATATTTAGGACCAAAATAAAAGTCAAACAAGGTTTTATATTAAGGACCGAAAGTAGTATAACCCAAAAGGAATAATATTTAAAGTAAAAAAACATTATATTCACATATAAATCACATGTAATTCAACTAGACAGGGTTATTAAAGCACAAAAATGACAGAGCACTGTTTTTTTTAACTCGAAATGAGCAGGTTCAAATTTAATAAGGAGAAAAAATAAAATAAAATCTCCGAAATTCTTATTTAGACTAACCAATAGACTGGTTTATTAATCAAACGGGCCCTGCCGGGTTAGATTTTTTTTTTGAGCAAACTGCCGGGTTAGATTTTAATATCATAAATTTAAGTACAACTAACATTGGGAAGGGCTGAAATTTTAAATTATATAATACAAGAAGTAACTACCTGTGGATGTTTGGCGGACACAGGTTATTACCTAGTTCCGTCAAAAAACAGTTTTTCTAGTTTGTAACCCAAAACCAAATATTTACTCTAGTCTTAACCTAGAAACTAAATAATTAAATTATATAGATTAAGGAATAATTTAGTTATTTGTGAAAGATATGTGTTAGTCTTTGTCAAATATATTCTTTAATAGTTTACATTATGTGGCAAAAAGGCAAAAAAGTCGTTTATACTAGCACTACTTGAAAACCTTATTAACATGTGCAATCAATAAAAATATCTAAAAATATCTAAAAATATATATATAAATTTTGAAGTTAAAGTGAACTTGAGTCTTATATAAAGTGAATTAGATTCCTATATTTAAAATCAAAACAAACTTTATAATTAGTTCTTATATTTAAAATGAGGGGTAGTAAGTTTAAATGATCCTCCGAACATATACAAGATTTTGCATATCCGTATTTCATTTCATTCTAATTACTTAGAATAACCTGCCTACCCACAAAATGGGCCTTAAGTCTTGACAGGCCATACCCTGACTTTAAGAAATGCGTGATTAAACCTCCCTTGGGCCCTAATTACTTGTTATGTGGCCCATGTCCAAAGACAAAGTCGTGGCCCATAATCACATTGTAAGAAATAATGGGGTAAAAAAAAACTAAAGTTGCGTCTAACAAACGGGATTACGGGGGTATTTGAGAATAAGAAGAAGTGCTTTTTAAAAGTACTTTTTCACAAATTGAGATAAATTTATCCATCTATTTACTTCATATACCGTAAAATCACTTCTAAAACCATAGTTTAGTTTATATCCAAACCCCCCAAGTCTAATAGAAGAAGCTAGTTTTATATAATATGGGGAATTAAGATTTGAATCCAGGTCAAAGAGGTGCTCTTTTTTTTTTTTTTTAAGTGCATCCAACAAGTCTTTTTTTTTTTTTTTGCATCTTAAGATGCTGGATGTAGTTTTAAAAAAAAATGACATCTAGACTTTGAGAACACCAGGAAAATAAGATCTTGATGTTGGATGCATGATGAAAAAAATCAAGTACCAGCTGTACCTGAAAAATAAGAGAAGTGCTAAATTAGGAAGATTAAAGAATGACTGATGAAGAGTAAAACAAAGAACAGGCCGACAGAGCATATACAAATCAGCGGGCAAAGCAAAAAGGGGGTGAGTTTGCATTGATTAATTAAGCGTTAGCGTTAATTAAGCAGTAGGAGACACGTCGCGATCCACGAGAGAATCATCAGTCAAACTCATCACCCAACACTGTTTCACTCCCACGTATACGTATGTTCAGTTCCTTCATTGCTGCTTCCTGGAAAATTCGACCACCACCCGTATCTTTTTTCCTGTTTCTTTACAATCCTATTCTCTTCTTTACACACTCCACAACAAAAACTACCAGACCTGATTTTAGGGAAACGCATCCATCACCCTTCAATATTTAATTAATCCGCATCGAATCATATTCAATTCAAATCTACCACAAAACAATCATCCAAATTTCTGGAGATCGCATCCCGTGGCTCAACAGTACATATACATGTTTCTATATATATGTGTGTGTGTAGAGAGGGCTAGTTGGGAGGGAATTGAAGGTGTAGGTGACGGAGCATATGGAGGAGGGGAGAGAATTAGACCTGCACATGGAAGACAGTTTGGCAGAAAATAATGATGATTCGTACATAGAAATAGAGCTGGAATCTTGTGCAGAGGTGGTTCCGACATGTGTGAGTTCCGAGGAAGAAGACGAGAAGGAGGAGGAGCTTAAGTTGAGGGAAGGTGGTGAGGAGTACGATGATGAATTGCGCATTTCTATTTCATCGACGATTGCGCTTCCCGATGTTGTTGTCGATTGCTCTGAGAAAGTTGAGAGCAGTGTTGATCCTGTGAGAGAGAGTGATTCAGCAGATTCAGATCCAAGCGATGATCAAGGCAGATTCAAAGACGCTGCTGGTTTCTGGGAAAATCGTTCACCAGATCATCACGGTCATGTAACTCTCGAAACAACCATGCCTTTCAACTGCTGTACTAGGTACGCAATTCTTGCAGCTTCTTTTTTTCGGTACCCTTTTTTAATATCCAATAATAATAAATTTAACAAAAATGAAAGTAAAAAAACCAGGCCATTGACCCATCATTATTTCAGTGACCAAAAGTAATACTCACTCCCCTCCTTTATGTGGGATTATAGGGTTAGATAAGTTATTTGTTTGAGCATTTTAGAAGCAGTTTAGTCAGTCAAGACTATCATAAATCACTTCTAAAAAAACTAATACAAGCACCTTTTTATAGTAATGTAAAAAAATTAGTTAAGTTGATTATTTATCTAAAATATATGTTGATTTTTTTTAACTTTTTTAAATCATTAATTTGCAATATAACTATTCTTTAGTAAAAACTTCTTAACATCTTCAACCAAATGTGATAGTTTGAAAAAAAAAATTATAAATTTTTAGCAATGGGGTGAATTGGAATCTTATTATATCTAAAATCAAAATAAGTCACCTAACTCACTATATTATACTATCATTAGTTTTTAATATAAGAGCTAGTTAATTAATTTAAGTAAATCAAGAAAATTAGTTAAGTTAATTATTTGTAATAAATAAGATTGTCTTCTCTAAATATTATTATTAATAATATATATTAGCTTACCATTTAATGAAACCTTTAAATGTGCAACTACTACAAAGATTATCTTAAAAAAAATAAATAAATATAAGAGACAAAATATATTCAAGTTTTATATTTAAAAATAAATTAAATATCAAACTATAATAAGTGGAGGAGGTAGTAGTGTAGTACTGTGTTCGACCATATTATATTTAGGGCGTGAAGGAACATGACCTTTTGAGTTTTAACAATGGGATGAAAAGTAGACAGAGTTTTAAAGTTCAAGCCATCCCATTGCTACGGCAAAAGAGAAGCGTCTAATTTCGTTGAAATTACACCTTTAGTATGTAGACTTCTACTAAATTTGTTGAAATTACACCTTTAGTATTTTTTTTTTTCCTTATCTCTTACAGAACTAGCGTCTCTGTATTTTGTATATATTTTCAGAAAGTAAAAGGAGATACGAATGATTTTGAACTAAACTACACAAGGCTACCTAACTTACCTTATGTTAGACAAGGCTTGTTTAAATTTTGAACATAAAAAAAGTGGTAAAAGTTTTAACTTTTAATTATAAAATCACAATAAGCTCCTTAATTTGGTCTTAATTTTTCTTTCTGATTTGCATAGCTTTAACTGTTGACAAAATCTCCAAAATGTCAACAACCAATTGTTCTAAATTGATGTCGTGATATAACGTGATCATGTAGCCAAAAGGATTAAATTGATAAAAGTGGAACTTGAGGGACCAAATCAATAATTGAGCCAAACATGAGGGACTAAAATTTTCATTATCCTTGTGTGTGTGTGTGTGTGTGTAGGCAAAACAGCAGAGTAAAAGAAGGAAGCATGAGAAGAACAAATGGAGGAGGGATGATAATGAATATGCTGATAAAGTTTCGAGGCATAAAGCTGTCAACACTGATATCATCCCTCATGAAGCTACCAAGACCACCATGCCAAGACCACAATAATGATAATAATAAGGGACACACCAGAAAATATTGCAGAACCATTTTACAATGCTATCATCAGAAGAACATGGTGGTTAATCCCTCCTCATCAGGCTCACAAGAAAACAGATCATCAAAAAGATTAAGCAAACCCAACTGGGATTTGAACAACAACAACAATAATAATAGCAATGAGGGCTCTTTCAGAAGCAGCAGAAGATCATCATGGAACAGGTCAGTGGTGGAGATAGATTTGGGTGCACTGAAAGGCATGTTCAGTGCTGTTGGAATTGCCCAGAAAAGCAGAAGTAGTTCTAAGAGGAAAAGTTGTTCCAATGTGTCTTCTTGTGACAACTCACCCATTCATGAAGGCTTTTCTTTCACTTGTACTGATAACTCCATTCAGGCTGCTATTGCCTATTGTAAAACTTCATCTGGACAAACCTCTGATTTTTCCTTCTGAATTAATGTTCAATATATACTATGCTGAATGTTATATAAACAAGAGGTTTTTGTTGCTACTTTATGTGTGATAAGTGACATATTTTTATTATTTTTAATCAGGTTAATACTATTGTTAGTCTTTATAGTTTGATCAGATTTTGGTTTTCATCTCTATAGCTTCAGATTGTGCTTTTTGTTCCAATAGTTTTTATAAGAACTGAGATCAAGACTAAAATTTGTCAAAAATAGGAAGCAAAACCAAAACTCATTAAAAGTACAAGAATTAGGTGAGTTTTGGTTTTGGTGCTTACGCTTGGCAGACAGCATTAACTTGGGCCCGCTCCTTAATGAAGCTATAGGGGGCCAAAACCAAAGTTAATCAAGTTGCAAGGACTAATAATGATATTAATCATTTTTTTAATTAGAAATACTTACATAGATGTGGAAACATATTACTCCTCCGGTCCTTAATATATGACCCAATTATTGAATTGGTTTTGGTCATAAATATAAGACCCATTTCTCATATTTATCAATTTTCTCTAAATTACCCCTATGGATACTTCTTCAATCATAATTAAGTAGAAGAGGAAGAGGGGTATTAAGAAAGATGATTATGGTATTTTAGGAAAAATATGTCACATTTCTTATAAGTAACTAACTTACCTAACTTCCTTAATCTAATCAAATTAATTAAATGGGTCTTATATTAAGGACCGGAGGAGTATCTTAGAAGTCAATTGGCATTATTTTAATATTTATATATTTATATTTGCATCATATTCTTTAGACTCTCAGTTTCTGTCAGATACAGTATTCCTTCCACACCACAGGCCCTAACATAAAACTGAGAAGAAACATACCCATTTTAAATTAATACAATAAACTAAGACAAATAGTCATTGCATTAAACATACCCATTCGCCGTTGAGTGGCAGCTGTAGATTCACAAGTGTACATATACATGTGGCCATGTGGGTAACGTTTTTAAAATCTACAGAAGCTTATAGAGAGGTGAAAATTTTTATCTTATAACCTGATTCTCTTTTGTTATAATATATAATTCATAATATATTGTCATCAGTTGGCCGATGATTAAATTAGAAAATTGCATAAAAAACTGCTAAATATTTATCAAGTATCAACACTTTTTGTTCATTACAATGAGCCTGCAATTTTGGTCAACAGATGAAAACAAATATAAATATTCTCAGCTCATTCAAGTGACTTTGAGAGCCCAAAAAAAAACTCCCATGGGCACTTAAAAAAGTGCTTTTATGCAAGTCGCCACGCACGTACTTATCTAATACAGTGCAAAATCACTTAAAATAAACTAATCCAGACACCTTCATCTAATGTAACACTTATCAGAGTTGTCATTCCGTCATTTCAGGTATTGCTAGACTCAGCTGCTGCACGAGAGAGAGAGAGAGAGAGATGGAAGGTGGCGAAGAGGTATGGCAATGGCAGATAAAGAAGATGGCTTGGTCAGTAACAACCGTAGTGATAAGCTGCACTGTGCTGATACTATGGAAGAAGCTGTGGTCGAAGCCCCGAAGGATCCGATCAGTTCTTCATAAGCAAGGCATCACAGGGCCAACACCTTCCTTCCTTCTGGGCAATCTCTCTGAGATTCAAAAAATCCAATCACAGTTCTCCAATCTCTCCTCTTCTTCACTTCCAGACCAATGGTTCCACTCTCTCTTCCCTTTTCTTCATCAGTGGAGGAAGCAATATGGTATATGTCTCACTTTTTAATCTCTATTATGTATATGTAAAGGTAGAGGTATGTGAATATGAATATCTTCATGATGAGCAGGTCCAATATTCCTCTACTCTACGGGAAATAAGCAGCATCTATATGTGGGAGACCCAGAATTGCTCAAAGAGTTGAATCTGACAAGAAGCTTGGATCTTGGTAAGCCTTCCTACTTGTCCAAGGCTTTGAAACCTATGCTGGGATATGGCATAACCAGAGCTAATGGGGAGTACTGGTCTTTACAAAGAAACATTATTGCTCCTCAATTTTTCCTCTCCAAGATTCAGGTCAATGTTTCCCCAACATATAATATTTTCAAACATGGCAAAAATATGGAGCCCAAAAAGCTTGATAAGTTTTTGCGTGAAGTAGTGGACTGCTTGATTGTTGTGGAATTTGCAGAACATGGTGGATTTCATGGAAGAATCTACGAAAGAAATCATGAGGAAATGGGAGAGGTGTATAACGGAAAGTGGAGGGAAAATTGCTGAGATTGTGATTGACGATGATTTGAAGGCTATCACAGCTGATGTCATTTGCAAAGCTTGTTTTGGAAGTTCTTATGCTCAGGGCAATCAAATTTTTGCTAAGCTCGCTGCCTTGCAAGTCGTTCTTGCAAAATCTAACTTTCTTTTTGGATTTACGAACCTCAGGTTTCACTTCTAGATTCCTTCCGATTCACATATAATCTAGTGGCACAATTCACAAGTCCTCTTTCAAGACTGCAAAGTCAAGAAGTATATGTAAAACATAATAATAGGGCATAGACACAGGATTTTCGTCAAGCAGGCTATAGGCACTTTTAAGCAGCCCAAAAATTAAGCACCTTCCATCAGATCGAAACCACGATTTAATTAAATTTATATAACATTTATTATTGCAGCTCAACATAACACTGACTCATGAAATTTGTAGTTCCTAAAACAATCGAATCTCATATTAACAAACCAAGAAACCAGCACAACTTACAACTTTTGACTAAGAAAACCAGAGTAAACAGCTGAAGTAAACATAAAAACATACTAATTTCTGCATTACTTCTAACATTTCCTTCATTCTTTTCTATTTCATCAACAAAATATAATTACCGAGCACATCTCTGTATGTGTATGTGTGTTCAGGTTTCTTCCCACCAAGGAAAACAGAGAGATATGGAGGTTGGAGAAAGAGTTTGAGAAGCTAATACTGAAAGTGATCGAAGATCGTAGGCAAGAAAATCAGAGGCATGTAAAAGAGAATCGAAAGGACCTGTTACAGATAATTATTGACGGTGCTGCTGACGCCGATATCAGTAGATGGGGAATATTGAAGAAGCTGAGACGCGAGCACGAAACCAAGAAAATGATTGTGGATATGTGCTCGAACATCTACTTTGCCGGATCAGAGAGCACCGCTCTCTTAGTTACATGGACGTTGCTTCTTCTGGCCAAGAATCCTCACTGGCAAGAACGTCTTCGATCGGAGATTCTTGATACCTTCCCCAACATGCCGCCTCATTGCTTCCAAGACATGGACAAATTCCGAAAGCTGAAACAAGTGAGTACCCATCTCCACAATAGAATTCATGTAACAAAAGCTGAAACAGAATTCAAACCTGTGCAATACTGAAACATAACTAGTCGATTAACAATGTTGTGGTAGTTGACAATGGTGATTCAAGAGAGCCTGCGTCTATATCCACCGGGATTAACAGCACCAAGGGAGGCACTGGAAGACATAAAGATCGGTGGAGTGGTGGTGCCAAAAGGAACAAACATATGGGTCTTCATACTCGCGCTGCATAGAGATCCAGAGATCTGGGGAGAAGACGCAGCTAAGTTCAGGCCAGAAAGATTCGAAGGAGGGGTTTCAGAAGCTTGCAAGCATCCACAAGCATATTTACCATTTGGACATGGAAGTCGGATCTGTGTAGGGCAGAATTTTGCTTTAATAGAAGCCAAGATCATACTGTGTCTTCTTCTCTCTAACTTCTCCTTCTCCATCTCTCCCAATTACCGCCATTTTCCTTCCTTCAAAATGATGTTGATGCCCAAATATGGGGCACCCCTCCTTGTAACCAAGCTCTAGTCGTCGAAGCATCTGATTATGCCGATCAACTGTATAAATAATCAGACGTTTTTCTGGCTCTTTCATTTTTTGTGTGTCAGTGTAAGTGTGTGTCTTTGTGTGTGTGTGTATATATATATATATATATAAGAGTGTGTGTATGTATATCAGTACATGTATATGTATGTATATGAGTGCGTGCATGCATGGCTGTGAGTACGCACGCCTGCCGATAGACGTGTCTGTGAGTGCGTTTTCGGAGAAAGGAACCCAAGTACAACCCAGTCTCCCAGGTAGTGTAATAACAAGTAACATGTAATTCATGCTCACCTATTAAATACATTATATGTATTAATTTTTTTAAATTGATAAAAAAATTTGAATTTATTTTTATTAAAGTTTTTTTTTCTCTCTCTGCATCTACAAGTTATTTTCACTCTTATCTCCTTTTTCTATCTTTCCAATCAGAATTAAATAATACCCTATCAGTGACTTATGTTTAGAATAAAAAATATTGACCTATAATAAGGACTAGTGGTACCAATTTTTCAAATTTTTTTAATTAATTTTCTTCTTCTTTTTTTACATTCATAAATTATTCTCACATCCATCACCTTCCTATCTTTCAAACTAAAATTAATTAGGAGTAAAATTGGGAATCACCATTAATGATGTTACAAATGACTTGTACTTGAAACCAAAATATTCTACTCCAAGTGACTTATAATAGAGATGCAGTAGTAAATTTTAGGAAAAATGAAAAAAAAAAAATATCTGTTGAATTTTAAAAAGATTAATAGGTCATGCTGCCTACTTGTATAATGGCTTTTACTACTCAAAATCTATCAAAATTATCTATTTGTTGTTTTAAAATTCAACAGGTATTTTTCTATCATTTTTTCTAAATTTTATATGATAATAAAAGATAAGTAGTTTAATCAATTTTTAATTTTCATGAATTAGTTAATTATTTATTTTATTTAGAATAAAAAAAGTCATGAATTTGAAAAGTGCAAGAAATGCAGTTACATAGAAGAAGGCTTGAGAACGGAAAGGGGAGGATATTGAAGTTATTACCTAAACATTCTTCTTTTGATACAAATTGCAAGAGGATGGGATTAATTAATATCTATAAGCATATACTTCCTCGGGTACTTTTTATATAAAACCACTTTTATTAAAATCATATGGATTAAGGCATACAATAAAAATTAGTTTGGAGCTTTTATTTTTAAAAAAAAATATATTATAACATTTCAAAATGATTTTAATAAAAACTAACCAAGTCACTATCCCTAATGTTCTCTTACCAATAAAATTAACAAGAAAGAGGAATGTAGTTAAAATTATTAAAAACATATTTATTTACTCCTCCGGTCCTTAATATAAAACCCAATTGTTGAGTTGGTTTTGGTCCTAAATATAAGACCCATTTCTCATATTTATCAATTTTCTCTAAATTATCTCTATAGATACTCCATCAACCATAATCAAGTAGAAGAAGAAGGGGGTATTAAGAAAGATGATTATGATATTTTAGAAAAAATGTGTCACATTTCTTATAATTAACTAACTTACCTAACTTCCTTAATCTAATCAAATTAGTTAAATGGGTCTTATATTAAGGACCGAAGGAGTATTATAAATAACTAATTTAACTAATTTTTTTAATATTTACAAATTAGTTATATAGCTCTTATATTAAGAACCGAAAATAATATAATTCTAAGGATTGTTGTTTTAATTGGGAGAAGTTAGTTGAGAGATTGAATTTGGTCCTAAATTATAATATCTCAATAGATTTCGTCACCCTAATCTATAATATTTTTATCTAAAATATTCCTAAAAATTGTAGGGGTTTTATCAATGAATAGTTTGAATACACATAATTAAAGAATTTAAGAAAACCTACACACATTTGTTATAATTAACCAGCTTAATTAATCTTTTTAATATCTCATCTTGTTCTTATATTAAAAATCGGAGGTGGCACAAGGATTAAAAGATTAATTTTTGTTGGCATTTTTCTATGAAGTTGTACCATGTATGATATAGCAATTGAATTTAGGGAAAATTCTAAATAAAAATACTTCTTGAATTTTAAAATTTTAAATCAGCCTTCTATACTACACTTTAATAATAATTGACAATACTTAAAAAGCAAATGATAACTCATTTTTATAATAATCTCTGATTTAAGATTTTGAAATTTAAGACATATTTTTATTTTAGATTTTCCATAGAGTTTAACTAAGATTTATAACTTTATCTTTTTTTTTATAAATATTACTTCTAATTCTAATTATAAAACTTTATTTATAAATAAAAAGTAGTGTAATATAAAAATAATTCTATTACACACAGGTTTGAGTGAAATTGCAATATTTAAGTCAAAGCATGGAATAGCGTGACACTTTTCCGTGGGAATGTGCGTGTCAGTTACTCAGATGTTTTCTCTACTTTCTCGCTGTTGTTTTTTTCCCTCTTGTTTTTCCTTGCCACCGTTTATTTCTCTTTTTTAATAATAAAATCAAATTACGCACACAATAGAAGACAAAGAGCACAGATAGCAAAAGAGGAAAATAATCGGAGCTTCTAGTCAATAACAAAGAAAATAAATTTTGTTGGAAAAAAAAACAAGGAAAATAAATTTTACATCCTACAGAATTTTATCAGAAGAAAATAGAAGTTGGAAAATAATTTTTTTTTTGGTCGGCAAAGTTGGAAAATTTAGCAGGAGGGCATGCACATGAAAAAATATTTGTTAACACCCATTCAAAACCAAGCAGAGCACGTCATATTCTTATTTTAGAGATATCATTAATATCATATTTTAATTTATATTAAATATTTATAAAATATAATCAGGTAAAAAAAATTATAAGAAAAAAGAATTAAAACTTTTTATGATGCCTACATAGAAAAAGAGGGAGAACCTGGGAAAATAAAAAACGAGGGTATTGAACTTTAATAACATATAAATTGTAAATTAATATTTAACACATGAATAGTTCTAAGTGCATGAATCTTAAATAAATAAGAACATGAACATCATTCTAGATACATTTACATGACATTACTTTGAGTGAACGTACGTAGTACATGTCAATAAATATCTCCATAATCAAATTATGTATATATAACAATAAAGATATTTTCATTTTCAAGCCGCAGTTTATTTTCAACCTCTTATGCTCCAATTTAATTTCAAAATTTGGCGCAAATTCCCATAAACAATGGATTTGTTTTTTATTGTAGATACAGAATACTTGAAAGCATCCGCAAAAAATGCCAAACCTGCGTCCGTTATTGTTCAGGCTTGCACGATGAGAGCCAAACTCTTTTTAAGAGCAATGAGTAACAGTGTTTATTAGGCTCAGTTGTTACAAAGGAGAGAGAGGGAGGAGGGAGAGAGATGGAAGGTGGTGAATGGGTATGGCAATGGCAGGCAACATCAAAGGAGATGGTTTTGTCAGTGGCAGCCATTGTTGTGAGCTTCATGGTACTGATAATATGGAAGAATCTGTGGCTGAAGCCTAGAAGAATCAGATCAATTCTGGAGAAACAAGGCATCAAAGGACCAAAACCTTCTTTCCCTTTGGGAAATCTCTCTGAGATTAAGCGTATTCAATCACAGTTCTCAAATATCTCTTCTTCTTCACAGCAAGCTGAACAATGGTTTCACTCTCTCTTTCCATTTCTCCAACATTGGAGAAAGCAATATGGTACGTGCGTGTCTGTTTCTCTGGCTGTCTGTAAATATCTTAATTTTTCTTTGTATATAACTATGATGATGATGAACATAGGCGCAACATTCATGTACTCCACTGGACACAGACAGCATCTTTATGTGGGAGATCCCAAACTGCTCAAAGAGCTAAATCGGATAAAGACCTGGGATCTTGGTAGGCCTACCTATATTTCCAAGCCTTTAAAGCCATTGTTGGGTTCTGGCATTTTCAGAGTTAATGGACCCCATTGGTTTTTCCAAAGGAACCTTATTGCTCCTCAGTTTTACCTCTCCAAGATTCAGGTTTACCCATTTTTCCACTACTTATTTTATATGAACTAGTGGTCTGTTTGTGTGTGGGTGTATTCATATTTTTATTGTTGTTGTTGGTGTGGAATTTGCAGAACATGGTGGATTTTATGGAGGAATCTACGAGGGAAATCATGAGGAAATGGGAAAGGATTATAGAAGAAAGTGGTGGGAAAATGGCGGAGATTGTGATTGACAATGACATGAAGGAACTCACTGCTGACATCATTTCCAAGGCTTGTTTTGGTGGATCTTATGCTTTGGGAAATCAGATTTTTGCTAAACTCACAGCCTTGCAAAATGTTCTCGCTAAACCCAATGTTCTTTTTGGATTTTTATACCTCAGGTTTCATTTTTGCCTTCCATCCTCCATCTTTTCTCTATTTCTTCATCAACAACTCTATATATTTGACAGTCTTTTATGTGTGTTGTTCTCATCATCAGGATTCTTCCCACCAAGGAAAATAGACAGATATGGAGGTTGCAGAAAGAGATAGAACAGCTGATTCTGAAAGTAGTTCACCATCATAATTTACAAAACCAGTGCCGCACAGATCAGAATAATCATCAGCAGAAGGATCTACTTCAAATAATTCTTGAGAATACAGCTCATGAGGGCAATAATAGCAGCAGTACTCCATGGGGAGTATTGAAGAAGCTCAACCATAAACGCGAAACCCAGAAACTGATTGTCGATATCTGCAAAAACATCTACTTTGCAGGATCTGACACCACTGCTCTTTTACTTACTTGGATCCTTATTCAACTCTCCTTGCACCCTCAATGGCAAGATCGTCTTCGAGCTGAGATCTTTGAAACCTTCCCTGACATATCGCCTCACTGCTTCCATGACACAGACAAACTTCGAAAGATGAAACAAGTTAGTACACACCAGCTCAAACACTTAATTAAATATCATCATCTCTTTCTATTAATGATTCAAACTACTGTGACTGATTCAGTAATGTGATGATATTGTTCTTTGTGGGGTAGCTGTCAATGGTGATTCAGGAGAGTCTGAGACTGTATGGGCCAGGAATAACAACTTCAAGGGAGGCACTGGAAGAGACGAAGGTGGGGGACATGGTGGTGCCAAAAGGAACAAACATTTTGGTGTTCATCACTGCGATGCACAGGGACAGAGAGATCTGGGGAGAAGATGCTGATGAGTTCAAACCAGAGAGGTTCGAAAGAGGGGTTTCAGAAGCTTGTAAGTATCCACAAGCTTACTTACCATTTGGATTAGGAAGTCGAATCTGTGCAGGCCAGAACTTTGCCATTATAGAAGCTAAGATAGCTCTGATTCTTCTTCTGGCCAACTTTCGCTTCTCAGTTTCACCGAATTATCGTCACTCTCCTTTCTACAAACTGGTCTTGTTTCCCAAATATGGAGCACCCCTTCTGGTCACCAAGCTCTAATAGATAAATAAGTATTGTGATTCATAGTTATCTCTATCAGAATAACTCTCTACTATGTTTCATGTTTCATTGCAACGCCGAAACTGGTCTCATAATAAAATATATAATTAAATAGAGAAAAGCTTATTTAATTTTCTTGTCTTCAGCTTCACAGTGGAGTTTCTGATGTGTCTCGACATGCATGTAGCAATGAGATATAAGATCACATTACGATTATACACACGCACGCACGCACGCACCTGCTTTACATATGTACGTGTGCGTGTGTGAGGAGTTGCATGCGTTTTGTTTCAGTGTCTAAGCTTCGACTAACGTGACTCCTTGTCAGCATATGTCAGATTCCTCGTGTTGTTCATTCTTTGTTTCATCCTTTCTTTTGCTACCTCCGATACTTAATATATAAAAACTATATAACTAATTTAAGTAAATTAAGAAAAATAATTAAATTAGTTATTTGCAACGTATAAGATCACAATTTACTTTGTCTCTCATTTTTTTTTTTTTCAAAATAGTCATTGTATTAGTTGTACATGTTAAAGGTTCAATCAAATAGTAATTTTAGTTAATATATAATTAGCAAAAGTATTTTAAGAAATAAAACACCTAATTATTACAAATAAATAACTCAACAAACTTATTTAATCTATTTAAATTAGTTAGTTAGCTCTTATATTAAAGACCAGAGATAGTATCACTTACAACATCAACAAATTGTGAGCAGGTAAAGTTTCAGTCGTGAAATTTTTTTATTTTTTTTTGCTAAAACATAGATATCTTTCTATTAGAAACAATCATATTTGAGACACTGTCAGGCACTAAATGTGGGTACCTCTCTCAATGGAGATTCGAATCTTGTTTCGTCACATTGTGAAGGACTAGCTCCTTCTACTAATTAAACCCAATCCCTGTTGGTTTTCAGCCGGGAAATAATATGCATGGGCCAAAATCTGACGCCAGAAGGCCTTTCATACTTTTGGGCCGGCTTACACATGGGCCTTAGGATCATAAATCCACTTATCAAATTGCTCCACCGTTTTTACCTCTCTTTTATTCCCCAAAGGAAACTGATAGCGACGTGTGTGTGGGTAAATCTTTGGCCAGGGCTTGGATGGTTTTTTTTTATAAATAATTTCGTGTGGTGCATAGGTTAAATCTAATTTATGACTAAAAAAGTTTATATTTAGAAAGAAAGAAAGAGAACAATAAATGAAAATCAATTCAATTGATAATGATGTGATTTATATTTTGAGAAGACACAGATTTAAACCCTACGCTCAACTTGGAAGCTTAATCCAAAGATGTTATTACAAACACTGTATTTTTTAAAAAAGTATTTAGGCCAGTAAATTCATAACCGAATTCTCTTTTTCTTTTAGTATTGGTGAAAAAATTTTAATTGTAAAATTTATTGCTCAAAGATACTCAAGAACTCAGGTCCTCAAATGGGCGCAACTTATCTTCAGCATATGCAATTTTTTTTAATCTATGTGCAAGTTCTTTGCTTTGCACATAGTTAAAGATAAATTATGCATACGCAGGGCTTGTTTGGAACAGCAATCAAAATCTTCAAAAACAATACTTATATCGTGATTTGTGAAATATGAGATAGATATGTAAATACTCCTTTAGTCCTATTTATAGGACAGAGAGAGAATGTATTTTTTGGTCATATTTATAAGGCAGTAAGAGAAATTTTTTGTGTAGATGTACAATTTTACTTCTCATTTATTATTGTGTTGACTTTATTTATATAAGGTATAATGTATATTAAATAGAAATAAAGTTGGAAAGTTATTAAATTTTAAATGAAAGTTAATGAAATTTAAGATTTTTCTTGGTATGTGTGAAACATGCTGAAAGTTTTTTAAAAATAGGATCAGAGGAGTAGAATTTTGTCTTGATTTGCATAACAATGCTTATAAGCATTTATTTAATAAAAGCATACACAAACAATTCGTAAAGGTTAAGATATTTGGTTGAATTAATAATGCACGTAGTTTAATGTATTATTACAGGATGGATCTGATTTAGAATGATTGGGAAGCTTACATCATACGACATGAACCAAAAAAAAAAAAAAAGTCAAAATGTACAAACAAACAAACAAGGAAAGAAAGGCTTTGCTTAGCTTTTGGGAGGAATAGTTCTTTCCCACTGACCTCTGATTATGACCCCCGAAAGCGGCACGAAGTTTCCCGTCTCCCTAACGCCGTTAACATTCTCTTGTGCCTGCCGTTATGTTTGACAATTATTTTATTGAATTTATTAATAATTTTGATCTTTTTTTATAGATTCTTTAAAATTTGATAACAGTTTTGATGATTTTTTATTCATTCTTTAAATTTAGTATTTCCCGACCTTTAACTTATTGTAATTCAGTTTTTATATTTATAACCAGTTAAAGCTTTAATTTCTCTAGTTCCCGAAATGTTTAAAATGTATGAATTAATATTTTTAATGGATAAATATAAAAATTGAGTTATAGTGAAAGGGTGATGGAGTGAAAACCAAACCGTAATTTTAAAAATAATTTTAACATATATAAAATAAATATGTAAAAAAAATTTGTCTTGATTTGTAAAAAAAAATATTTTTAAAAAACGCTTTTTAGGTATGCCGTACACCTCCTGAGTCAAAGTTCATGAACCGAAATATAACCAAATTCAAAGTATAGAAATTAAATTGTATAAGGTTAAATATTAGAGATTGAGTAGTTGGGAAAAAAATTAGAAATTGAGTTATAATGAAGTGAAAATTATAAGTACATAAAATTAATTTTTTATGATTTTAGTAATTTTCAAATTATTTATTTTGGATTTTTCATTTCAGTGGTTAAATTGAATTTCCTTTTACCCCCCAGTCAATCATGAAGTTGCTGGATTCTCACTCCTCCTCTTGGCGACTTGGGGCAAATATAATATCTCAAGGAAAGGAAGATGCAGCGTGGGGGCCAACTGGCACCTCCAATCTGATTTTCTACTCATTTTATAATATATATTCAAAATTATTAATTATTAATAAAAATAAAAAAAGGACAAGCTGAATATAATTATAATTTTTATTATTTTTTATAGAAATATATTATTGTGGGTGATGCAATTTGCACCGAACCGACTTCTATTTCTATGATGACATAACAGTGCAAACAAATGATTTCATTTTTTTTCTTGTTGTAATTGAACAAGAAAAAACAAAACACCTTAATATATCTCTATAATTATTGAATAAAAACAAATGTTGGAGGCCAGAGAGATTTAGAAGTTTTGATAATGTTGGGAAGTTAGGCTGCCTATGTTTTTTTTTCTTATTCATGTGCTTTCCCTCTTTTTTTTTAATAAATATTTTGAGACATAAAAAAACATATTTTTTGTATTTAATTAATCTATGTTATCAATAAGATTATTTATAATTAAAAAAATTTGATGATGAGAAATAAATTTATATCTGATCAAAAAAAGAAATAAATTTATATGATTTTGTATAATATACAATGTCAAAAGATAGAACCTGCCAAGGACTATTTTTAGGGAACAAGTGTAATTATAGAGATATTTTTATGAAATAACTGAGGCTGTAAATAACGCAGTTATAAAATTAGATAGTGTCATTTCCTAAATAAATTTTTAAATGGGATTTATTGTCAATTTTCTCTTAAAAATCATTTGAATACTGAAAGACATAAAATGTAGAAGATTATAAGTATAACATGAGTGATTCAATAGATTTTGATTCATATATATCCACTTATACAGTACTTCATTGTACGAGATATATATATATATATATATAATTCATCTGTATAGCTATCATTATTTACATCCAGAAAACCGTATGCTTTGAAAAAAGCTTGTACAGTTTGAGAAAGGGTTTTGATTGGTCAAAAAGAAGAATCTATATTAATACTATTTTAATTAATATTATTTATATTAACAAATTAAATTAATTAATTTGTATTAATTTGAATTAATATTCTTTTGGGGAAAAAGTATTATATAGATATTTAAATATAATTACCTAATCAATTAGTGGGTTACATAATGCCATACTCTTAAGTTACATAGTTTTACGCCTCACATCACATGCAAGAACACATGGCTCCTACGTCTCTTTTCGGCTGAGATGATGCTTTGTCTTGTTTTTTTATGCACATGATGAATCTGACGATTTAAAAGAAATAACATATTGAATTTATTTATTTTTTTGGCCAAATATTGAATTTATTTAACAACTTAGATGCGTACATCTGTATATATATAATTTTTTTATTTCATAGTATTGTTATGAAAATTCTATCTGAATCTTCTTTATGTATATGGGTGTGGTATGCAATATTTGATCTTAAGACTTTATATTTAAGCAGTTATAGGACTTATTTGGAGCTCAGTTCAAAAAACACTTTTAAGCAAGTTCACGCAAGTCTAGACAAAACTTTTCTCATATACTTATCTTATATTCCGTAAATCGCATTTAAAAAGTTACTTATAAGTCATTCCAAACAATCAAATAATCTCTTGTTGTTTTCTAATATGACTAAGGATGTGTTTGGGTGACACCCCAAATCATGGTTTGAGGAATAAATCACCCAAACAACCACCCAAAAACTAAAACCATGGTTTTGGCTGGTTTTGAAAAAAGCAAAATTTTTTTGCTTTTGGAGAAAAAAAGGAGAGTGTGAGAGTCTATAGGATATTTATCTTGTTATTTTTTTATAAACATATTTAATCTTATATTTTATAAATATATATACATATTAATTAGAGAAAATCTCAAAAAAGTGATAGCTGAATTTTAAAATTCCAAATCAGTATTAGTTACTGCACTCATAAAGAAAATGACTACATTCAAAGAGCAAATGACAACACATTTTTGTAGTAATTCCTGATTTGGAATTTTGAAATTCAGTAGTCACTTTTTTTGGGATTTTCCCTATTAATTATTTATTAATTATATTATCTTATGTATTATTAATTATGTTAATAAAAAATATATTATTAACAATTTTATTCCTTCAAATTAAAATATATCATAAAATCTATTTTTTCTGTAATTATCATATTAACTTATGTCTTTTTTTTAGTAATTTGTATATATAAAAAGTGCTTTTGATAACAACTATCCAAA